GGAATCCTTACTTTTGTGTGACGGACAGATTGCCTATAGTTGTAGTTGAAGCATTTTGTTTTCAAAACTAGTCTCTGATGGTGATGCTTGTCTCTTGTTAACAATTTGTTGCATAAGTGGTGGTCGAGCCCAAACTGAGACAGTATTGCTTATTCTGTGAAAAGATACCTCAACAAATAATGATAAAAAAGTAGTAACAATCATCAATTGATGTAAATATTTTTTCTTGGGTAAAGTAAGGTGCCATTGCACTATAATCCTTGCAAGATTTTTCATTAACCTTTCAAAGCATTAACTATGCTAAATTAAGCATAATATTAACTAATACAGGTCGGAGTTCTAATGTTCCTGAGTCTATTCACCTGTGTAATGACTTTCTCATTTCCTAGGTATCCGGCAATGAGTTGTTACTCTTGAAACGTACTTAAATTCAGAGGAGTTTGATGAAAACCCTAGGGTTGCTTCTGAAATAACAGTTCAAGCAATGTGAAAAAATAGAAGATATTCTAGCTCTCCTAGATTGCTAGAGGTCTTTACCAAAATTCATCCCAAATTTCTCTTTCTCCGTCCTCACCCCTTTGATTTTTCTTCCCCCAGATAAACTCCTGGAATTTCCTCTGCATGTATTTTCCCAAGGAATTATTCAGCACCTTGCTGCCAAATATTCCCTTAACAGCCTTTATTGGGATTCCAATTCCAGCTTTGGCCTTATAGATTCCAAGATTGTTTCCATGTAATAAAACAAGCACATGCTCATGCCAAAATAGAAAAAGGGACCTGTGTCTCCCTCAGGCAGAAGTTGGAATAATAAATACTAGAAGAGTCTGTTGTGTCAGAACAAGTACAATTTTGTGTTTCTGGTTGCTTATATACATGTGTGTGTATTCTTTAACCATATTTTTGTGTCAATCTCGCAGCTACTTTAGAAGAGGAAGAAGCATCTGATGCTTATCCAGGAGTTATTCCTGTTGGACGTGGTTTGTCTACAATGACTCGGCCGACAACATGATTTTTCTAGATGGTTTGTCATGGCCTGGTTACTATGAAATTTGGAGGTACAGTTTGATTTCGCTTATGTATAGGCCTTCTTTTCTTCTGCAAAATTAAATTTTTATGCCTTAAATCTTTTGTTTCATTGGAGGGTGAATAACCATTAGAAGGGAATTTTCCATGACATAGGCTTTTTATGGTCTCCATGTGTGCACTCGTGCGTGTGTTCTCCATTTACTTTGTGTTTTATACAGCAGATAGGAGTAAATGCATGTTTTAAGAATTGCAAATACACTTTCTTACATTATTCAATTTTTATGTTGTAATTCCTATTAAATTTATGCTCAGAAAAGTTAAATATGATTTTAGTCCTGTAATTTTCCCCTTCATCTTTGTTATGATGTTTTTTTTCCCTTTATGTGGTTAATGTTAGTTGTTTACTCAGTTAGGCTTAGGATGAGTTGCCCGGAGTTGTTAAAAGCAAGTTTAGTTTTTAATGCATGTTAGTCGGTTTATTAGTATATTATAGTAATATATTTGCTTTTTTATTTTTGGCTAATTTGTATTATACTGTTACTCAGAAGTCTGAATTATATACTACCTCTAATCCTTAATATAAGAGCTAGTTAGAGATTCAATTTGGTTCTAGGTATAAGACCTCAATCCACTTTGTATCCAGTATTTATCTATTTTGCCCTCTAAGTATAATCCCTATGGTAATTGCACATATCAGGAGTTTTTATCAAATGGTAGTTCTAATATCTATGATTAACAAGGGTATTTTAGAAAAAACAATATCCATTTGTTACAAATAACTAACTTAACTAATTTTTTTAATATTCGCAAATTAGTTATCTAGCTCTTATATTAAGAATTGGAGGTAGTATTTAATATGGTATTGTTACATTTCAATTTGGCGGTAATAAAGCTATGCTTTGTAGCACTTGGGACTAGTGGAAAAGGATTCCTGGTCATGCAATAGCTATCTGTGAAGTATACAGGTGCAATTGAGTCGCTTTTTTCCTAGGTGTAACAGAGTGGTGTGTTTACTATATTCAATCTTAAAATGTGGTCATGAAGTATTGTGGAAGTGAACGAGTCGCTTTTCTCCTAGGTGTAACATACTGCTTACTTTGCCCTTCTAATTGACTACTCCTCCAGTCTTAAAGACCCTTATACACACTAGTATAAAGGTCTTATATTTAGTGTGTATAAGGGTCTTATATTTAGAACCAGAGGAGTATTTCAACAATTATATGTTGCTACAAAACCTGTTCATTTATCTCATCTATGATTATGTGTGCTTTGGTGGTGGTGAGGGCTGCACTAATTTTTGCATATCCTGGCAGGAGTCATGTTCGGAAATTTAAAGGATTAGGAGCATACATAATGGAGCTTGCCTCATCGACTTTCTCACAAATCAACTATCAAGCTGTTTGACATCCAATGATTAATGATTAACCCTTTTCAAGTGCAAAAATAGCAAAGTGCCCATAAGTATACACTAAAAAAGCGGATATTTTAGGTGGTAAAATTCTTTGACACCTTATTTTGTTTTAATTCCACGGGCTCCTTCTGCGCCAGTAATTTCTGATTGAGGAACTATTGCCTTGTACCCAATTCATTTCCTCATTTTTGGAGGTTTTTATATTCTTGGCCTTCAACTGAACCACCTATAGCATATCATTGCTACCCATAAATTTGTACGAGTTAAGAATGGAGAGAAGAAATAGAGAATCCGCCACTAAGATGTATAGCTGCCGTATTTTTGGCCCTTGGCCTTATTATTTTTAGGTACATTTCTTTGGCCACATCTTAGCATGGGAAAGTGGTGTTAGCTCTACAAACTGTAAATTGTTGTATAACCTATGTAACATGAATTTGTTAATCTGAAATGAATAATTGTCTCCTGCAGGGGTACGGCTTTTTGACTCTTGCTGGTTTGTTGATCGTTACTCAATAGAATGGGATGGTCTTTGTATACGCTTACAACCGGTGAGAATTTAGTGTTAGAAATAAGAAAAATAAATCTCTCAAGGTACCAAAACACCAGCAAATTTGAACAATTAGATCAACCAGAAATATATAATCAGACAGAGTCTTTGGCCTTCTAGACCTAATTTTGTTAATCTGACAGAATAAGAGCATATGGTGATGGGGGTTTAGTTTTCCAAGACAATTTAATAATGCAACAGAAAAGGAGTGGTAAATTCTTGTTCTTAATGTTTATGATGATTTTTATTTCCCCAAAAATAGACCATTGAAAAGGATTGGAGAAATTGCTCTATATCATACTGTGACACTATCGTGCATGAGAGACACTCTCCAGCTCTTTTGGTGGGAGCTAATTTTCAATCTTGCATAGAGAATTCCAAAAGATGAAGTTGCCCATGGAAAACAACTCAGATTTGTTGGTTAATTGCATCCTTGAGCTTCAACAATGTTGTCTCGGGCCCTGATTCAACAGCGGGGGTGGGGGAAAGCGTTCTTCCACCGGACAAGGAAATCCTTTGTGACCCTTGCTCTGTTTTCAAAATAACATGCAAAATATGTAGAGTCAGTGAATCGACATCAGAAACTAGACTTAGAGAGTGAGTTTTGCGATAATGGGCTGAGTTGGATTTAAGTTGCTTTTATCATGTCCAGCGCTAGTTAAGCTTTAATTGGGCAAGGGAGGGAGCAAATTTGAATTTGCAAGGCAAATTAAGATCTGATGGGCCCTTTCTTGCCTCATCAATTAAAGTTCAGTTTCCATTCAACAGAACCTTTTCGATTTAAATTCAAATTGGGCATGACCTATCGTTGGAATGCTTTTTTGAGTATAGTTTCTAGTGTAATAAGATCCATTCAAAAAATTTTCATATTTTTAAAGTTATGATCAAAAGATTGAGCAATTGTTAGAAAAATGTTTGTGTACACATTGTGGCGGATAGAACTGGGAAAACAAGCTAATCCTATGAGACTGGCGGGTTTAAAAGGACTGGCTTTACAGAGTCGAAATTTTAAAAATATCTCAATTTGTTAGACTCGGCTTTTAAGTAGATGGGCTGAGGGCCAGCCTGTAGCCTTTCGGCTTGTTTAAATTTTTTTTCTATTTGTCATATTTTTCACATGTTTTATCAAAAAATGAAAGTAAACCAATGAAATTACTAGTAAAAGATATAAATATGAATAAAATTAAGTCATAAATACAAAATATCATCATATCTAAATGTTCATCAACATATTAAAAACCTACAGGGTTGGCCCATTTATTTTTAAGCCCTACAGGATTGGTCCTTTTAAATCTAAGTTCTCTTTGAAGACCCCAAATTACAAGATCAGCCATCAACCTAAACGGCACAGCTTAACGGGTTCGGTCTGTTTTTCCGGCTCTAATACTGGCGGATAAGGTCACAGTCATGACATTTTTACATTATTTTGAAAATTTTATATGTATTACTATTTTTCTCACTAACATGTTTGCTAAATGGTTAATGTTAGTTTTTTTTCCCCCCAACAAACGATTAATGTTAATTGACTTACCTATCATGGCATTTTGATCATGATTTTAAAAACTTCATATGTATTTTTATATCAAAGTAAAGTATATAGTGTGAGGTGCCTATGACAGTATGGTTTATGGCTGGATTTGCACCTTAACTTTTTATAAAATATGGCAAAAATGTTGAATATGTTGATGGTGGTCAGGAATCTTAACTCACGTCGATAGTATACTTTAAATCGGACAAGAAGTTTGAAGAAAATTAAAGGAAATTCATATAACCATTCTTGTGCATCCTTAACAATGTAGCATATTTGCCGAACTCTATAATGTGGAATCTTCGTTAGTTGTTACAAAGTGTTTCACACGCAAGGTAAAATATCATTAACAGTCGATGAGGCCAATATCTGACGAGAAACTCGAAACCTAGGGTTTTGTCCGGCCATGCAGGTGGCACTCATATATAAACCAGAGAGAAATACAGAACAATGAATTGAAGAAAGTGAAGGAGGAAATATCAGAAGCAATGTTTGGAAAAGTTGAGCATGAAGCAGAGTTGAACGTGCCGGCAATCGAGGCGTGGGATCTCTTCAGTTCGCTTCGGATCGGAAAAATTCTGGAAAAAGAGCTCTCCATTTTGCAGAAGGTCGAAGTCCTTGAAGGTGATGGAGGAGTTGGAACCATCCAGAAACTTACATTTAAACCAGGTGATACTAGGCCAACGAATAGATTTCTACGTACTGATTTTCATCTGTGGGCAAAATCTAATAATAATTGCATACTAGTCAAAGATTTTACCAATAAAACTTCATATTAGTTTGGGTTCAGTAACATTCAGTACCGTTAAGTATTATTCCAGTAGCATTAATCAATATTTTAAACTAATTTTTGATGCATTCAATATCTTAAAATATTTTATAGCATTCATTGTCGTGCCTCTTGGTACTGAGAAAACTATTTGAAAGGTAAAATTACACTAAACATTACATTAAGATACTAAATACTATCGAAAAAATATTTTAGATTACTAAATTGTATTAAAAATTAGTTTAAGATAATGGATGTTATTGGAAAAATACTTCAAAATAATGGATGTATCTTAATCCTATGAATTTTATAAATTAAAGGAGTTTATAATTATATTGAATGGAAGGGAGTCGAAGTGATAGTTAAAATTTTGATAAATTGAAAAAAGAAATCATGTTAAGAATTATGTTCATGTGTATATATATGAGTGCCAGATACAATACATAATAATAGAAGAAAAATTACTATTTAATTTTTGAATGTAGGGGGCTGCTATAGATAATTTTTGAATGTAGGGGGCTGCTATAGATAATTTATGAGCGATCAACAACTTTCCTTATATAAAATGACAACTACCATCTCAAAATTCAGAGTATAATAAAGTGTTGGTAAATCAATGACACTAAATCACTAAGAAATGACTTTAATCATATGAAATAATCATAACTACTTCACATTAACAAATAACAACTTTAGTTATATAAAATGAGGTCACTTCATTGGTAACAATTCTAAAAGCCAAAGATAATACTCCTCCAGTCCTTAATATAAGACTCATTTAATTAATTTGATTAGATTAAGAAAGTTAAATAAGTTAGTTAATTATAAGAAATATGACACGTTTTTTCCTAAAATACCATAATCATCTTTCTCAATACTCTCTTCCTCTTTTACTTGATTATGTTGAGGAAGTATCTATAGGGTAATTTAGAGAAAATTGATAAACATGAGAAATGAGTCCTATATTTAGGACTAAAACTAACTCAACAATTGGGTCTTATATTAAGGACCGAAGGAATAGTTGTCATTGATTAATGTGGTGTTGTGATTTCACACACACACACACATATATATTACGTTGTTAATCCTTAAAGTGAAGTAGTCATTCCATCTATGTTGAAAAACTTGGTTGGCTTTAGAGGGTGTTTGGAACACCCCATAATCACTTTTCAGAAGTACTTTTTCGCAAATCTAGATAAACTCATCCACATATTTACTTCGTATACCGTAAAAGTACTTCTAAAATATAGTTTTGTTCTTACCCAAACACCTCCTTAGTGGCCTAACAATAACATAACTTTAACATTTAGAAACCAAAAGTAGGGGAATCATATCCCACCTTTGACTATCCCAACCCCAAAATTATCCAGTCATTGGTCAGTAGGGATTGGCGGCAGGCAGTGGAAGGATTTTTTAACATGAGGGCACTTAGGTCATTTCACAAAAATTTGTTTCCTATAGATCTCATTGGAATTATGTATGTAATTAATTTCACACTATCATTTTAAGATTTTACATATTTTGGTGGCAATGATATTTCATGCTCTCTACAAATTAAGTGAACATTCATGTATTATAATTGATCTCTGTTTCTTTTTTGAGTTGGATATCAGGTTTGAAGGACCGGCAGGCTACAAAGAGAAATTCACAAAGATAGACAACGACAGACGGATCAAAGAAGTAGAGATAGTGGAAGGAGGATACTTGGAGTTAGGGTTTTCTGCGTTTAGGGTTCGATTAGAAGTGATAGAGAAAGGAAAAAATTCAAGCTCTGTCAATCAACATGGAGTATGAGTTCAACGAGGAGGCTGCGCTGTTGCTTCTCTCATCAA